GAGAGGAATAGGGACCGGCCTAAGTCCTCAGTGAGAAAGTAGCAGGCATGCCCCATGCCCGCTCTGTGCATCCCCATCTGAGCAGAGGACACACCCAAGGTCCTAATCTCTAGTCCCAAAGCCACCCTCTCTCTCTGGAGCCTCGCCTGCTGCCTGCTTCCTGATTGGCTGGCCGCCAAGCCTGACCTCAGCCTGGGGCAGGCAGAAGGTGTGCCATCTCTCCCAGAGACTATTTAAGGGTTCAGCCATGCCTGGGTGCCAGAGTCTCACTGCAGGGTCAGGCAGGGGACAGGACGTGGCAAGTTCCAAGGACCTCTCTGACAGTCCCTCCAGGGATACCTGGAGAGCAGAAATGGAGGGGAGCTCTAGGGAGGTAGAAGCAGCCGTCCCTTCCACTCCCAACTCAGGGTCCAGCCCTGGGGACGGCACGCTGGGTGCAGCCCAGGAACTGAACCTCGTCTTGCCTCTCTGCACCTTTTGCAGAGGTGGTTATTTTTGCAGATTAACAGCTGAGAAGACCCTTTGCTTCCTGTTTACAAGGCCGGAAACTCCTGTACAGATACCCCAAGAACCAATGAGGCAGAAACAGCTGTCAGGCCACCGGCTCCAAAAACCAGGTCCAAGGGGGCTCGGGAAGGAGCCTGGCTCTTCCGGGGGTGTCAGGCACATGGTAGCTGCAGCTTTGGGCTTCAGTGTGAGCTTAAACCACAGCATAAGCAACTAAAGTTAGATGTGAGAAAAAGCTTTCTGACACTCATGGTTGTTAGACATTTGAACCGGCTGCCCACAGAGGTTAAGAAGTGGGTTTCAGGTTAGCAATCCCTCTTAACAAAGGCATTGCTGGCTTCCATCACCTCCCATATGGCCTCAGAATGCCAAGGGGAAAGCCTTGTTGTTATTGTCTGTTGCCATCAAGTCAGTTCCAACTCACGGCAACCCCATGTGTGCAGAGTAGATTGTTTCATAGGCTTTTCAAGGCTGTGACCTTTCAGAAACAGATCACTAGA